ATTTTGTTATCGATTATTTACCGATTTTGTTATTGATTTTCTATCGATTATTAATCGATTTTGTTATCGACTATTTATCGATTTTGTTGTCCATATTTTGCCAAATTGCATGTTAATCCGTAGAGCCAATTGAAGATATTTGTTTTGGGCGATTTTGTCCGATGGAATCTCCCCCAGATTTTCTCCGGAAACTTTTTGTGCGGGATGTATTTCCGCGTAAGTGTTGGAGAAAGTGTTTGTTTTCTTTTTTATTTTAACAGATTTTAGGAGGTGCGAATTGCAGCAGCTCCTATTTGCGTTAATTTTCGGGTGATATTTTCCGGGAAAATATTTTTGTGGGGTATTTGGACCGAAACATTTTTGTGCGGGGGATTTTGTTCGGAGTCTTTGTCCGGGTTATTTTAGGACAGGTAAATAACTCCTGGAGCCTCTGCCGAAATCCACATTAAATCTTTTTAAAAATCTTTACTCATAAAATTTCCACGCCTATTTTTGGTGGTTTATCGGCTTAAAACAAAAATCTTCCCAAACAAATATTTTCACTGGACGGGTATTCTACCGGAATCTATATCTATACTAATTATATAAAGTGAAGTCCCTTTTTTTTGTAACAGGTAATCTCGCGAACGGCTGGTCCGATTTTCATAAAATTTTGTATACAAATAGCTTTCGGTAACCACCATGTTTTAGGCTAAAAAATTTAACTTTTTTCGGGTAGGTGGACCAGGGACCGGTCTATTCGAAAAAATCTTACTATAGTACGATTTTCTTAAAATTTAGTACGTAAGTAGCTTTTTAGCATATATTAGCACATATGACCCATTTTTTCCGGGAAGTGGTCCAGGGACCGATCTATTCGAAAAAATTGAATTTACGGTCCGATTTGCCTAAAATTCGGTGCGCAGGTAGCTTTTTGCCTGGATAAGCTTATAGATTCCTGTTTTCCAATTTTCATGCAATTTCGAATATAAATAGCTTTAAGTAACGACCATATCAAGGGGCGAATTCGTCACTAGGCAAGATTTTTTTGCGCCAATCAGAAACAACGGATACTGTCAAAATATAATTATAATATATAATATATCTCAACTAATATATATTTAGAAAGCCGTTTGTTAGTTTTCGCAAGGCTCGAGAGCGG